GAACACTACTTGAACATCAGTTGCCTCCGCAGGCCACATGTCTCTACGATTCTGAGTGGTAATGGAATACGTGGACGTGCATGTCCCGAGAGGGAACCGAGCTAATCTGGAAGCTTTATCCCTTTTTCCTCAAGAGAAGTCTGTAAGCTCAGCTTGTCCCACTCAGAAGACGGTCCGCAACATGGTTTGCAGCGTCATATTTTACGGGTGGTTCAGGCTTACGCATGACTTTTAAAGCTCGCTATAAGCGCTCTGAGCGTCTTGTTGATCAAACGAGAAACTGAGGTTTTTTTGAAGAATGACGAATTGGTTAAAGCTCTCACCTCGTCCTCTCCGCCTGCAATGATCACCTGCCAATCTTGATGGAGTCGCGTCGACCTCGTCCATACTTCCATCTCCTGTATTTCCGCCTCACTCTGTACTTGCATTTTATAATGTCGATATAAATTTTGTTCATGAATTCGGTGCAGAATTTTGCCTGAAATGTTTTTGTGAACTCGACAATATGCGAAACATTCTTTTCTGATGCTCGTTCTCTTTGTATCCTTGCAAAGTTAACACATTGGCGACAAGGCGCCTTTTCGCGTGTCTGCCGCGTGGGACAAAGCAGTTTTTCCCTATTTTCGAAGAATGCGCATAAATGCTAGGGCGTTTATACGCCAAAAAAATTGAAGAATGGTCAGAATTCATTGCAGAAGCTAGTAAGGCTTCGCTATTCTTGTTTACTTTCAAGATAAACCCTGAAATTTCATGGAATACTCCCGCCTCATTCACGTGGAGCGTGGGAACAAGGTCGCAAAAAAGGAATATTTTCGCGCCAGAGGTGGTAAATTGGATTCGATTCAGATCTGCTATTGTTGAAAGTTACCTTATCACATTAGCTATCTGCATGTGGAGCTTCAGTTCTATATATCCAAGAATTATCTTTTTTTCCTAGGAAATCACTTTCGTTTGTCTCCTCGGTAAAATACTCTCAATGACACAACTGCACGGTTTACAGCTACTGTATATTCTACAATGCCTTCATGGATGCAGCTGTTGAAAATTCGAAACGTCTTCAAATTGGTTTTTTACCCATGCCGCATCCCAGCAGTGGGACGCAATGTCCCACGTGTTAATACGCGGTAGGCTTTATGGAAATCTTTTGTAAACAAACGGCAAATTGCTTTTTTATTGCCCTCCCCCTGTATATTACTTCTGAAACCTTCGAAGATGTCAGTCTGATTCGTTTGCATTGGAAAAAGTAATAAGTCGACCGTTTGTTTTACGTTTTCAGTGTGACAGTGTGGCAGCAGTGAGAATTTGATACTGATACTATCTCTTCCTCTGTGAATATTTCAACATCTGTACTGATGAAATTTCCCACCACCTCGAACAAGCAGTGATCATTCCAGATAATTCCTCCACTTTTCTGGTTCCACGACATACCTCTAACCTTGATGAAGACCTGCTGCCCCATTAAGGCGGTTGGCACAATAAATCCCCAAGACGAGAAGGATTAATACGCCTGGCAGTATGAAATTCCGTGCTTCTGAGCAGGCCCTGTGTAGCGCCTTTTTCCAAGGATAAGCGCCTTGAGGATGGTACCTTCGTAAGGCTGCAACTACCGACCCGAACGCCCGCCCACAAATGGACGACGTACCTGATGCTCGTATTGCTTCATTTGCGAAGTAAAATATGAAGCGAAGGGATTGATATGAAGCGGCCGCGGTGCTGCATGGATATATGAGTACATACGTGCAGCCGTACCTACCGTAGCGGCTTATTGGCACGATGCCAACGGAGATTTTGTCGTTGTGTCGTGTGGATCGGAGGCTTTTTGAGGTTCTTGACTGCTGCACCTACCTTTCTCCTTCACCACCATATGCTACCACTACTATCATTTGAGACCGAGTACCAAATTAGTAAGCTTCATGCTTTTTAAGGCACGTTACGCTGTTGATGATGCGCGTAATGCTTCCACGCATTTGACAGCCACGTGCAGTTGCGAAAAGTTTTTTCGCCCAAATTGCTCATACTCTCATGCTCCTATTATTCCGAGGAACGTGCAATCAAAAGCAATTCCTTGGCAAGACCAGTGATGCAGATACAATAGTTCGCCGGATTACGATTACGAGGGGGCGGTTGCTGCCAACTTCATTGGTGGAAGGGCCGGGAGGAGTGTGGCCCAACGCAATCTCGCAGCCACTGCCCGTCCCTAGACATTGCGCTCACTACCTTTTAATAACATGTTTACAACAACTTACCAGATCTGCAAGGGTAATGAGATAGAGAGGTATTCCAAAAAACAAATAAACAAGACAAAATATTCGTCCCACAGGAGAGTCTGGAGCATCAGTGCCGTAACCTGTAGGAAAAACTCTCAGTGTAAGCATGCAACCTGTTTTAGGCTTTATCCATCGCATGAGTCTCTTACCTATGGACGTGAGTGTTGTGGCAGCGAAGAACAGATTCCATGTGACATTAGACAACGGATGATTGTGTATGGACCCCTGAAAGGATATTGGGGAGCTAATTTATGACGCTAAAGCAGCTATAGAGTTCCACTTGTACGACACAATATTGGACCTCATAAAAAGGATTTGAAATTGCAATTGTCTCAATAGCTTACGGTGAAATCACGGCTCCACTGAAAAGGAGTTCTTGCGTAGATCTCGTGTAAGTCGTCAACGAAACGGGTAAACCTTTCCTCCAGGATTGGGCTTCGAGGCGAATCCAATGAAACCACAAACCGCGTGAAGTTTGCTTTAGCGCTAAATAACTAGGTTTTTGTCCAGTGTCGAAAAACAAAAAAACAACAAAAAGCTTCTCGGGCACATAAAATATTGGGTACTGCTACACTACGGCCAACACCCTCAGTCCAATGCTCCTTCTTGCTCCGGGAGGCCACTTATTAGGCCTGCATAGCATTCGTTACTTAGTGTGAAGCCGTGAAAGTAGGACGGCCCTAGAGACTGCGAACTACACACTTGAACAAGGAAGGACGATTACAAATTGAGTGCAGGGAATTATCTTTAACCAGGGAAAGATTTTTTGATAGTTGATTTTTTGTTTCAAGGGACGTTGTAAAGGAATTTGGGTAGTATTTTCTCCTTTCTAGCATACTGAGGTTGCTTGATTTTTTCGTAGGTATTTAGAGAGTCCGCTCAATTTTTTTTTTTTTTTTTTTTTTTTTTTTTTTTTTTTTTTTTTTCCCCTCCCCCCCCTCCCCGCTCGAGAGCAAAACATTTGGGTAAAAGTAAGGAGATTTTCGAGAAATCCCGAAGAAAGTGGTAGGAAATCGGGGAGGTCTATGAAATGGTGGTCTTCGCGGTTTTTCTCGCTTCATATGTGCCCCCCCCCACTTGACAGCTCGGATGGAACCACGGGGGGGGGGGGATTATACCCCACTATGTGCTCAGTCTTCAACACTCATATTGACTGAAGACGAAGTGTGCTCTCATCTCCGAGGACGGTTGTTGCCATGTGCGAGGTGTATAGGTCTGCAATGCAGTTGTAATAGTGTGTTTGCCTTCTCCCCACTCGGCACACCCTATGGATAGGCCTGTAGCCGGCCGTGCTGGCGGTGTCAGGAGACGGCATCCGGGCATCCCAACCCTTCAGTCCTGTTCCCGTGCATTTTTGACCAAAAAAGGTGGCACGGTAGTGCAGGTGCGGGTTCATTCATCTTGCGCATGGCAAGGAGCACAATTTACGGAATAGAGTGCACAGTTTGTCTTTAACTAGCGTTGGTCGATGTTTAACACAGGAATTGCTTCAAAACAGGAAATGAGCCTTTGACGTACCTTTCTAACAGTATGGTGTCGTCGACAGTATGGTCGCTGTACCTGATGATAGTAAGAATCCATCCTCCAAGAGCAGCGTAGAGAAGTGACACGAGAAGAAGCGTAACATGAGGGAGTGCGAGTCGCAACACATGAAAATGGCGTCATTAGCCAAGTTTATTGCTCTAGAAATCATAATTAACACCTGCGCGGAGGATGTACTAGAACACACATCAACACTGGGTCGACCCCGAAGAGAAGGCAATTATTCAACCTAGTCTCTTGTAAGCCTTTCGCCAGAAATTTTGTATTAGGTAACCCGAAAACTGTTCAAAAATATTGCTCTTCTATTAGTGTAGCAAGGGTCAACACAAACCCGTATAGTTCGTAACATCGCAATCAGTTGGGGATTGGGTACAGCACCGTTGTGTGAAACACTTGGGGGAGTCGTACTTGGCCGCTGTGGAAGGGGGTCGTATTTAGTCGTTGTTGGGAGAGGGAGGAGGGTCGTATGTGCCTTCAAGAGAAATTTGCCGCGATGGGAGAGAATTTTTACGGTTGTTGACTTTTCGCGGTTTTCCCGTTTCACATTGGCTATATAAATCCTTTTCCCCCACCGCACCAGGGCACATCGTTGGTTGGGAAATCGCTCCAAAACGGGTCGTTTCTGTTGCGCAAAAGCAGTGAAGAAGGAACCTCGAGACGTGCCAATTTCTGCCGGTCACTCAAATTGTGGGGCACCCACTTATCGAGTTTTTTCACCTTCCCAATGCGTTTCAGACCATCTGCAACACTGGATTTGCCAACGCCTAGCTTTTCTGCAATCTCTCGAACTGTTTGGATGGGTCAGCCTCCACAAACGCTCCCGTTAGTAGAGCAACGCAGCCGGAGGCGGGCTCATCCCATCATCCTCAGGTCGTCCCCAACCAGGGTACAGCATCGTGATGTTTGGAATGGTGTTCTTAGTGCGACCATCCCAACCCCCACTCCTTTCCCCAGCAGCTACCTACCTTTTTCCTACAAGCTCCCAGCTTCATACAGTTTTCACTCAAAAGTTTTCGTTCAAGCGCTGCGGTGCAGCGGCCACATCATTTGCAGGGCACATCATTGGTTGGGGATTTTGGTGAAGCCCGTACGACCCCCCCCCCCTTTTTGGGGGGTTCGGTACGACCCCCCTCTATACATAAACTTATGAAGTTTCTTCCCCCCCCCCCCTCCCCGAGGAGGAAGAAACTTCATAAGTTTATGTATAAGTCGCGCGAAAAATGGGAAAAGTAACAATCCTGAACGAGGCCCCTCGCTTTTCGCTCATTTCTATCCTGATCAGAAAAGAGAATAGAAAGACAGTTCAATTAGAGTTTCACCCGACCTTATCTCCTCGAGTGTCCAACACAAACCCTGCTACCTGAATCAATTGCAATTAAAAGAAAAAAGAACAGGAAATTAAGCCAACTTCTCCTAAAAGGACTCTGAGCGGTCCAAGCAAAATTGCTGCGGGCGCCTCTGACGCGATATTTGAGTAAACTTGGTCGAAAGAAGATTACAATTAGCATATTCAGTTGAGTAAACCGAGAAGAAGATAAACACGAAAGAGTAAATACGAACGAGAGCAAACCAGCCGCAATCAGCTGATTAAAGGCCGAGGTACCGGGGGAGGGATTCTGGGCAGGACCTCCAGCCGCAAGGTGGTTGCAGGTGGTTTGATTGGAGCGCGGACTTTCAGGAAAGTGGGGTCTCTTTAAAGGACCATAACTTCCGTAATAGCGGACCTTTGGGAAAAAGAAGAACGCAGTGGTATGGAGAAAGATTTTATCTTTCCAAAACATACTAACATGTACATAAAGATCGCCGATTTCATGTAGAAATTTGCGTTGGGGATTATTTAGGGATTTCATTTTTGGATAGTTTGGAGCGCGAGTTTTACAGGTTTGAACCAAGATATTTCCCTTGAACCTCGAATGGTTTGGCGTCTGAAAAACACACTGTCAGACTATGCAAGAAGATTTGCTCTTCCAAAAACTACTTGAACGTTTTTTGAAGCTTCCGGGAGTCATGAGATAATTGCGTTGGGGATTATTTGGGGAACACTCCGAACTGTCTCAATACCGTCTTTCTGCTGTAATGAGTTTCAAAGGAGCGTGTTCAGAATAGCCAGAAATACATGCTAGAGACGTATCCCTGTGGATACGAAGCAGAAGCAAGATGGTTGTTAGTGCCAATCATGCTAACTTTGGATGCGCCGCGCATGGAGGTCCGCGCAGAGATTATGAGATGGTGCAATTTGAGCGTAATGTCTGTCCACGCGGACGCAATGTGTCTATTAGGATTCAGGGAGTCCATGGCGAACCTGTGCACTTGTTTACAGTGTTTTCCGTTGCATATGATGGAGCGTGTCCCTGTCGACGCCGCCAGATTCGTGCTCCGCCAATTGCTGATTCCGATGAAGGAGACCAACTGCTGGAAAACGTCTGATACGAACGATATGGTAGTCCTGTCGTTT